ATCACGACGGACATGATGAACGTTACGAAGTGTGTGTGGGATATCGGCGTCCCTTGGTATGGAGTCTTCACGAACCTCAACGACTGTATCGAAGCGTGAATGACTGATACCCAATCTCTTGTCTTTCGGCGGCATCGGCTTCGATATGGGTTTTTTCCGGAGGGTTGGATCGGCTGGACGAGTGATATTGGCTAGGACGACCGTTCGAACGAGAGCCTGTACACTTTGAGAGATCAGCTGGTCCTTTCTGAAGGGATGAGATGCGTCGAGCAGATGAGCTAGTAATGAATGAAATGGATGATCCAAAATGACTAAATGCAAAGAGTGTGAAGAAGAGACTGAGCGTTCCACATAAGCCCCTCCTCGTGCACTGATCTCCGCACCGCCGTGCCGTAAGTAGTTCCGTAACATGAGCACAGGCGTCATCATGTCTGGTCTGTGCCGATTGCCCATGATCCATGGTAGGCACCTAGCCCTAAGCCACGACGCGATGGATCCCCCCTGCTGGTGCTCTTTGACGAAATGCAACAATTGTTTCAATACCCGACATAGAACAAGAAGCCAATAAGTCCTGCACATGCTCTGTGTTAATGAAGCCTGACCGGCGAAGACGACCTTGATTACGATGTTCCGGCGAGAAAAAATAAAACATGCAGCAAGTGGATGCACCAGCCCACATCACCAACCCCGAAGTTGAAGTTTCGCGGCCGCACGCGTCGATTAGCCCAGGCATTACGCCGAGGCCTAACGTTTTCCTCGCTGCCGTCACTGTCCGGCCAGTCACAGCCCGCGAGCATAAGCCGTAGTATCCACTTGGGCTTATTGTGTGGAGAGGCGTGATGGAATTGTGTCGCACGTCGCGCGCCAAGTCTAGCCAGCCGTGCCCGGTTGTCTGGTGCGACGCGTGCGAGGTAGATCATGTGCTACCGCGAACGCGTGAGACGTGTCAAAAGACGTGTCGACTGCGTAATTGTTGGACCGGATGCGGTAAAGACGCGGTTTGGCATGCAGAGGGGCACCCTGAGAAGCATGACAAGCGCGCGTTGGTGATTCATCTAGTGCAGCGGCTGAGTTGCTTCTGGCTGTTTGGGATAAGCCCTTTGGCCATTGTATTGGATTGGATTGGGTGCGGATGCTCATGCGTGTGCCGGTGAGTATGTATAGTAAGACGCAGGTTTTACTATACTGAACGCGTATATAGAAAGCGGCCTCGCTTGCAGTTGTGCTGAGTGAGCCTGTCTAACTATGATCGTCGGGTCGCGCCCATGTTTATTCCCCTCGCCGGTCAGCCCAACCAAAGAAACTCTCCGTGCCTGTTCCAGCCTTTCGTGCTTCATTCGCGGCCTCGCGACACCATAACACGATACTGACGACACGCGTTGAAAGACATGAGCCGTGGTAGGTTTCACGTTGAGGGGGCGGGGTGTGTGTGGAGACGGCGCACGGGGAAGGTTCGACGGCTGATAATGGGCTGAGGTGTATTGTCGTCATTTTCAATATTTCCACGGCAACCCAGGCACGCCTAAAGCGACGGACTGCGGACGTAATATCGAAGACTCAGCTAGATCTTACGATCTTTGCGGATAGCTATCTATTCGTGCTTCGTCAGGCACACGCTTCCGTCACTCTGTACGTTTGCGGTCGTCCGAGGTCATCCGGCTCGCCTTCGGTTCCGGTTCCGCTGTCTCGAACCTGGGGAAGCTTTCATTGATAAGGAAAGTTCCTTTTGCAGTCGTATCGGCTGACGGTCGGATTACTCATTTGCTAGGGGATCAGCGTTCAAGATTCATCTGGGTCCACCTCACTAGACCCTTCATGACCCTTCATTTGCACGGAATCATCCACAGTTCTCGCGTCGGACGGACAACCGTATCATGTTCCATCTCCACTTCGCCTCATATCAGCGCCATAAACTATGAGAGGGACAGCTACCGGGTGTCTCATTGTTCCCGAAATGCCCATGTTGGATCCTGTCGAACAAACATGCGCTGGGGAAAGAGTTCAAAAGGAACGTCCTGCGAATATCTCCCGCACCACCCATCCTAGCAATTTGCGCAGTCGACCGAATATACCGCCCAGGGAGCCGAATGTAAACGCGCGTACTTGTATGGCTCTCGGAAAGAAAGAATATTGTCGTTGCCAGTCATCGATCACTTCATCACATTCGCTCCGATCTTCGATGGGGTTGTGGTTTGGTGTATTGTTCTAATAAGTCTATGTGATCAAAATGAGGTAGCTCCAAACGAAAGAGACAATTAATCAGTATAGTAACGTATCGCGAACTCCTAGCCATGGGGTATAGCAAACAACGATCTAGGTGACAACAAAAGAAACGATCCACGATTCCATCGTCCTCCTTCTATGGCGACACATCGCTGCCGTTCCTCAAGTGCATCTTGCTCATGTCGCCATTCTGCTGGGGCATCTGTGCCAACCAGCTAGGCGGTGCCATACCAGTCTGGTCGTGGATCGTGCTAAGCAGAGGAGGCAGGCTCTGGAAGAGGTTGCGAATAGGTGCGGACGGGTCCGCCATACCCTCGCCTCCCTGACTACCCGTGTTCCAGACGTTGATCTTCGGCTGAAGGCCCTTGATGGCAGCGCCGTTCGCATTCGCAAGCTTCTCGTAGGTTCCGTTGGTGATCATGAGGTATTGCATGAGGCCCTGGGGACCACCGAGGACGTTGGCCATGTCGCCGTATGCCTTGGCCATCGCGGAGAGACCCTCAGCTTCGCGCTGCTGGGTGATGAGGTGGGCTTGAGCTGCGCGTTCCTGGGCGAAGTACTCGGCTTCAGCGCGGCGCTTGGTAGCCTCGAAGTCAGCTTCAGCAGCACGAAGGCTACGGAAAGCATCAGCTTCGGCCTCGGCCTGCTGGCTGTACTTGTGTCCATCGGCGGATTTCTCCTGGGTGTACAGCTCTGCGTCGGCCTGCTGCTGCGCACTCTCCTTCTCAATCTTCGCCTGCACGACTTTGGTAGCACGGAGACGTTCAAGCTCCATGAGTGCCCTCTTCTTCTCAACCTCCATCTGGAGCTCAGCATCGCGTCGTTCAGCCTCGCGCTTAGCGTTGATGCGAGCTACGTTGAGGTCACGACCGATCTCAATCTCCTTGTCGGTGAACTTGGCATCTGCTGTAGCCTTCTCGGCTTTACGCTCGGTCTCGAGGACGGCAGTCTGGGCGTGGATCTTGGCGACTTCCTGCTTGGTTTTTCCTTGCTTCTCTGCTTCTCCAACCTCACCTTGCATACGAGCGTGAGCAACATCGACCTTAGCTTGGTTTAGTGCGCCCTCGTGTGCCTTGCGAGAGAGGAAGGCGAAGTACTCTGAGCCCGGAGTGTCTTGTAGTTCCTTGACGTTGGCATTGTAGATGCAAAGACCGAACTGGTCGAGCTCGGATTGAACTTGCTGGATAACTATCGAATGTCAGTGCATGTTTCCCCTAAAAGCCTGTTCCGACGTACCTTTATCTTTGAAAATCTTTCGCTCACGGAAGAGCTCTTCCATAGTCATGGTAGAGACAATGCTTCGTGTCTCGCCCTCAATAATACCCTTAACAATCTCTTGAACATGGTTGCGACCCTCAGCAACCGAGACGACTCCCTTGGCCGCCGTTTGGGTAGGGCTTCCGTCGCTCTCGCCAGTGAGTAGTACAGCGTATTTCTCAAGTGCCTCGGGGCTATCCGCGGGACCGATGGTGAAGACTGCTGGTAGGGCAAACTTAAGCTTCTCAATAGTCATAGCCTGGAGGGCCATGGAGAAGTCAAAAGGTGTGATGGAGATCTTGGAAACCTTCTGTAGAGGGTATACGAAGGCCTTCTTCTTAATCAAGACCTTCTCAATTCCTACACCCGTGATGACGAGGTAGGAATTGGGCTCGGCGACGTGGTACCACATGTTGACGGTTGAGGTATACGAAGTGTTGAAAGTATAATTTACAATCTCAAGGTTGATTTAGGCGTATGGGCTTTATGTATTCTGGAAGATGCGTGGGTTTATGAGTGATTATATATAAAGAGTGGTAACGTGCTCAAGGACAAGGAGGTATCAACAAAGTTGGGGGCGCTTCAAAGGATGATGCACAGTATGAGGTTGAGCTAACGGCGACCATGGTAACTCTTATATGCATCACGACATCTTCTAAGATGTTTCGTTTATCCGCATTTCCGGCAACGAGTGACCTTCTCGGTGAGCATCTTTGTGATGGTGTTGGTGGAGACCGCAGCGTACAGTGCACGGTCCACAACACTAGTCTGAGTATGGAGTAGTGCGGCGCAGCCTGGAGTGTGCCTTGCGCCTCACAGCCACCCCATGTGCCTTGGGCCTGAAGAAACGCTTTATCTCGCAAGAGTATGGATCTCGCGCGGTGAGCAGAATAGGCAGCTTTACGAAGTGCGCAGCCGCCGTTCAACTATGTTTTAAACTCCTCAAAGAGAAGGGCCGGTGAGGCGATCTCCAGGCCACCAGAAAACTGCGCAAGCTGTCCGCCCGCCGCGTCGCATAGCCTCCACCTTGTACATACTCACTTTTTGAAGTTCGTACACATCTTACCACCCTCAAGAGTAGAAACCCAACGCCAAGGCTCTCGGCCCGGACACCTCGTGACTGAAGCATCTACACGCTTACAATTCGCTTACCCACGCCAGGCAATACATCATTGCGCCCTTATTCCCATGGCTCGTACGATCACGAGACTGATGTGTATGCGATTTGGGACTAGTCAAAGCTGCGCCATATGAGCACGGAGTCACAGGCTTCTAGAAACTGTAACTACTCCGGTATGCGCCTGCCGTGATCCGTTCGATATCCGTGAAGACCGTTTCAGTTGTTGCCACCGCAAAAGGGTAGTCGTAGAAGTTTGGTAACGAGAGCAAGTATCCGACCACAGTACACGACTTCCTGCAGCAACGCCCGCAATCTTCATGCCAACACATCCATACTTTCGCTCTAGACATACGAAAACATTAAACAAACACATCTCTCAAGTTTGATCAACACCACAGCAATGTCACGGAACGAAAAACAAGCCTCTCCACCACCCTACTCAGAGTACAACGCCCCGGCCTCTTCGCGCGGCACCACCATCCTCAATCAACTAAGCACAACCCGCACGCACCACATCCAATCCGTAATCGAAAGACACATCATCCCCCTCATCGAAGAACGCGTCACATACGGCATAGCTCAAACAACCATCGCCATGCTCCCCTCCGACATCCCCCTACCAGCCGTCGAAGAGAAATCAGAATTCAGCTTCGACACAGCCGACACCAAACCTGTCGAGGTCGTTGGCTTCTCCTCCGAAGACGAACCGAAGGTCGTGCGGTTGGAGGGCCAGATGAACCGCACAGAGTTCTGGAGACCGCAAGTTGTGATTGTGGAGTTGGAGCGTCTGTTAAGTGAGAATTTGAATGCGAATCCGGTTTTGAGAAGTCCGAGGGGGGAGGGGAGAGGTGTGGAGAGTGCTGTGCAGAGGCAGGGGATGAGAGGGCTTTTGAGTAGGGTTATGCCGTCGTTGGGTCCTGAGATGCGCTCGCCGGGTGGGAATCCAGAGGTTGGCGTGAAGCAGCAGTTGGATCAAGGAGGCATGGTTGTGGTGAAGGCTAGGTTGGAGGAGATATGCTTGAGGACGGTGAGCGAGTTTGGCTTATATGATACCATGTCGAAGCAGTGTGTGATTGTACGCGTGGATGCGCGGTGTTAATTTCGTTAGGCTACGTGCAATCAACACTGCATAGTTCGTGGAGAGGAGGTTTAGTATTTTGTCGGAGATGATAATTGAAAGTGTAATAGACATTGAATGGGTACATATTGTCCCACAGTGCAGTCGAACTGTACTCTCTTATGCTGTGGATCGAACATGTTTCTCAGTCAGACGGCCAAGACCTGCAAAAAGAGTCAAGATGCCACAGCTAGGCAAAGAGCTGTGCTGTGGTAGCTACATCGGCAAAAAAAACTAATCCTCCTCCGGGAAGGCTCGAACTTCCAACCTCCTGATAGCCACAGATGTAACAGTCAGACGCGCTAGCCAATTGCGCCACAGAGGATTATGTTGAGCGGATAGCGCTGGATGCGCTCCGGTTGTGAGTTGAGAAGTTGAAACTTCGATCATTTATATACTCCAGTTCTTTCTTTGAGAAACGCGGCGTGTAGATAGTCTGCGGTCGATTGTGTCGGCGTTGTGCGGGTGATGATGTGGGGTAAACCCTCTGTGACCCCACCAAACCTCGTGTAGTCTGTCTCATCATCATGATCTTCGATTTATCCACCTTCTACATGCTGTTGCTATGCCGCCTCTGCATCGCCCTTCAACACCACTATGCCATAAGGATCGCGATCAATCTCACTGACAGCGATCTCAAAGTCATCATCTGCCAATGCCTCCTGCAGCGCCTCGTTATCCTTCTCCTCCTCCCTAATCTTACCCCACTCTTCTTGTACCGCCTCTTCCAATTGCCAAAGCAACACTTCTGCTAGAAAGCCGCGCTCAGAATTGCTATGGAACAAACTGATGACAGCCCTTCCGTTCTCAATTGCTGCAAGGGCCGAATGATGGTCCAGCTCACCTGTAAACAGTAGATCCACGTCTAGACCGTTCAGTAGACCTGAGCCTGAGCCTGCGCAGATGCCTACGCTACGTATCTCTATGTCTGCGATTGCCTTCTCCTGGGGTATCGCGATTGGGAAGCCTTTAGGGTTGTTGAGTCCCTTGCCTATGCGATCGAGGAGTGTGGGGAGCGGTTGTGGGTGATCGAACTTCACGATGCGGCCCATGCCAGCTCCGGGGTGTGATGCCAGTGCCGGCGATTGAGGTTTGATTGTTTCGCGCTTATGAGGGGCGGTGAGCGGGATTTTGGCGGGCGTAGGCTGCTTGCCAAAGTGCAGTAGGGGCTGGCTAGGGTGGTGTTGCAGCATGAATGTCGGGCGCTTCTTCTTTTCGATGAAGGGGTCCTCATCATCTTCCTTTGTATTACTTGCAGACTCCGATTGTGCATCTGCTTCTGAGATATTGTAAATTGTCTTCGTGCCTGTTACGATGTCCGCAAGCCAATCTCCAAGTCCTCCCGGAGCTGCGTCGAGCGCGGTATGTGGGCAGTACACACTGATGCCATGGCTAGCAAGGCGTAGTAACGACTGTTGCTGCGTGTCGGCGAGAGTCAACGATTTCAAGCCTCGGAATATGATGGGGTGGTATGCGATGACGATTGAGGAGTTGAGCGCAATCGCTTCGTCCGCGACGGCTTTGGTAAGGTCGATGGTAAGGAGGGCGGTGTTGGACTGGCGACGCGACGGATCGAACGGCGCCTCAAGCAGCAGCCCGGTGTTATCCCAGGAGTTGTCGGCAAGCTCCTTCGGATACCTTCACACGTTTGTCAGTACCTGAAAACACATAGCGCGATGCATCGAGCAGAGTCCGACGCATTTCCAGGGAACTTACAGCTTCTGCATCGCCCTCACCACCGCCCTCGAAAAAGGCGCCGAAGTAGTCATAGCGAATCGTCGTGCCGTCGATATGAACATGCAGTTCCTGGGTTAACAATCGCAGAGCAAAATCCGCGCGTGCAGCAATGCCGATCCAACGCGCCTGCCCACCCCTGCAGTGATGCGTCATAGCCCCTCCCCTCCCAAAGTCCCGGTCTTTCCCCATTCGGCAACCGCATCTTATCAGATCCGAAGATAGGAACACCAAGGTCAATATCACATCATCGCCTTATGGATCCGCGACACAAACTTTACAAAACTCTTGACAATCTTGCCATCGCACCAGACGCCGAAACCAATATGAGTGCAAGGACGGACGAGGAAGCGGCGAACGTGCAGGCTACTTCTGGCGTTACTATAGAGGGACTGGAGAAGAAGTTGAAGGAGGGTTTGGGCGCAACTTATGTCGAGATCGAAGACCTGAGCGGTACGTAATATCTCTTTCTTTCTCATGCATAGATTGGCCTGGAGTGAAGATCGAATGCGCTACGAGCGCGGTTTTGTGCTAGAAAGGTTCTAGGGTTGGAACTGGAGTCACGAGCATGAATTAATGTCGCATACTAGGTGGATGCGGGCAAATGTACGAGGCTATCATCGTATCACCACAGTTCGCCAAGAAGACTACTCTAGCACGACACCGGCTAGTTAACTCGACATTGAAAGAGGAGATTGCCGCGATACATGCATGGACCCCTAAATGCCATACGCCAGAAGAGTGGGAGAAGAAGAAGCCGCAGTAAAGAGTGGTGACACCAACTTGCGGTAGCAAATAGGATGCTCAAGAGGTTAGGACTTTGAGTCTACGGATCACGAGTCACGACTGATGGATATGATGCGTAAATGAGGTGGCTTTTGGTGATAGCATCTACCGGCTTGTACATACTCGCCACATTAGGCCCTTTAGCTGAGCAGCACCCGTATCTCACCACTGGTACGGGGAAACATATCCCTCAAACCGGGTTCCTGGTCCTCGTCTTCCTTATCTTCGTCGTATGTCAGATCATCAGCCGCCATCATCTTGGCCTCCACAACCTCAAAGTCCTCACAGAACTTGCCGGCTGCTTCTTCCGTGATGTCCTGTATCATCTTTCTGTTGCGCAGCCGCTTGATGTTTTCCGATGCATCAATGATAGCAGACGGCAAGAACTCGTCGAGTTGCTGACTGGCTGCCACGAGTGCGTCCGGCTTGAACGCATCCAAATCAGGAATGGTCTTGAGACTTTCTGGCGAGTCGGTAATCCCTTCAAGCGCATTGATGAGGGTGATGAGACCAGATTCATGAACCAAGTACTGGTGTTGGTAGTCTGTCAACTTCGCAACATGCTCATCGATTGTATCGTCGATGTCGCTGACCCGCTCGCTAGCGAAGGTATACTGAGAGAGGACCTCTTTAGCCGCAAAGAGGCAGTTGATGGCGAAGATGGCGCTATCAGGCAGTTTCATTCCTTTTTGTAGGTTCTCGCAACCATTCAAGAAGGGATCCAGAGATTCCGCAAGTACAGTCTGGAATCCTTGCCCGTTGTCATCCGTTGCGGCAAATGAAGTATCGTAGCTTTTCGCAAGTACTCGAAGCATTTGGAGTGCATCCTCCAGGAATTCGGGGGCGGACAGATCGGCTGGCGCGACAGCGAGGTCGCTCTGGACATTGGCGACATAATCTCTCATATTAGCACGGAACTGTCGCATCGCAGAAGCCTCTAGTGTATCAAACACATCCAAGACATCGGAATCTGCTCCAAGTAGCTTGGCAAAGGTTCCTTTATAGAAACCAATCAAGTTTGCGATCTTGTAAGCAAGGGTTGCATCGTCGTGACTCTGGACAACCTGTTCGGTCCGCTGCCTCAAAAGACGCGCCACACCCGTGAGATCGCGGCTAACGAGCTGATTTAGGGCTTTCCGTCCGTCGAAGACTTCTGCATCCTCATCGCCTCTTAGCCACGGCTCACTTTCAAGACCTGCTTGGATAGAACGTTTGATCTCATCGCCGTCTGAGATGAAAAGGTTTTCGAGCGCCTCCCTCTCCGATACTGTCGTGGAGTGTGCCCACGCAAGCATATCTCCAACATAGCGGAGTGGGTCGTGGGCATGAAACTCGATCGGTTTGGTGGCTATGTGCTCTTCTGATGTCGATCCGGTCAACGCAGCGTGGAATGAATCAGACAAAATGGCTTCTCGTGCCTCGGCAAACGAGTCCAGGCAGCTTTGGAACAAAGTGGGACGTTCAGCCAGCACGCGCAGAGACCGGCGCACAGAAGCACTGATTTGTGGGTTCTCGAGATCCAGTGTCTTGAACTCGCGTTGGATCCACCGATACAGTTTTTGGAAGGCTGAATTGAGTTGCTTGGAGCTCTGATCTAGCACTTCCAGGCCCAACCGCTGGTCCTCGGTCCCGAGCAGGACTTGACAATCGTGATGTATCTTCTTTACGCGGGTCAAGACCTGGAAAAACTCCTCATTGACGGGCTCAGCAGTGGAGGTCAGGATAGTGGCGTCTTCTTCCGATATCAGGAAGTGAGTGCTGAAGGCGTTCAGAATCTGCTGCTTAGATTCGACCTGCTTCCTCTGGGTTATGAGGCTTGTGGCTTCCTCCAGGACGGGTCCAGTTTCTCTGTTGGCAGCTTCAATATGACCGCGCATATCCGCGCAGTACGTATTCAGGCTACTGATAGCAGTTCCGATACGTTTCAGTTGCTAGTGAAGATTAGTCCGATGTTCGTAATACTTGGTGTTCTAGCATACTTCTGCAACCTGGCCAAAGTCCTTGATAATCTCGCCATTGCACTCGATGACATCCTTCTGCACATCTAAACGCAACTGCCGTCGTGTTTCGGCGGTGTTCTGCACGCCACGCGCATCCAGAGTTTCCAGGGCATCGCGAATTTCCAAGTCTGCGTACGATGCAGAGAGCACGCTGGTGATCCTACTCGAGAGAGCATTTGTGCCTCGCGATGCAGGCGCTACCGACGGAGAGGACGGAGAAGTACCATTCTGAGAAGCGGGAGTTGCTCGCTCCTGGAAGTAGCTCACCGACATGACTGGATGGGTGTTGTGACTTGGGCCCCGAAAGGTGTCATGTCGGGCAGACGAGCGGCAAGTGCAGCCGAGCCTTATCGATATCGGTCGCGTCACCTGCATGCATGCCATGTGCTTCAGTGATAGCCGCGACTATCACTCATCCTACCCTCTATCACGCTGGAATGGTCACTGACTAGGTTTACGTCAGTGCTCATGGAGGCTCGTCTTGACTTTTGGGATCACGCTTTCGGTCCTCTGACCACTCTTGCAGCCTCCAAACGCCCTCACCCCAGCGCAGCACGGCCACGCGCCCCGCCGTTGCCTGAGCGCACCACCACTGTCCGACCATGATGGCCTCTAACCTACTGTCTAAGCTTCTTCCCTCTGCATCGGACGAAACATATGAACGCGAACCTCTTACTGCTCACGACCGCCGCGGCTCCACTTCGACCGACGAGCGACACGAGATGGACATAGACGAGGAGAACTTTGAGGCTCGCTTTGAGGAGCAAGACCTCGCACATCTGCTCGAAGAGGCATCCTCAAGTCAGATGACGACCGAGAGCCGCGCTGTCTCCCCGGAGGCCAAACGCAACGCACCACCCGGTATCAATACAGCGAGTCGCATGCCGGCTTGGAGGCAACCCGCGCCGTCCCGCACCGCGCCCTTGGACGACGATGACGACGTCCCACAGTCCCTACTTCTTGAGGGAGGACATGAGCCGGGGCCAAGTTCGACTCCGCGCGGCGAAGGCCTCCCTATGCCAGTACCTGGCCCAGCCACACGACAAACACGGGCGCAGTGGGATGCTACACGGAACCAACAGCGGCTGCACGACGAAGACGGAAACGGCGCACCTTCGCGGCCGTGGGGACATACCAGTAGACCTGGGCATTTCGCCGCCGACCGCAAGGAGAAGGCCTTGTGGCTGTGGGTGAATCAGATGGACCTGGACAACTACATGACCGAGGTCTACGATTACTTTGTCGGCTGCGGCATATACTCCATCCTTCTGGCCCGGGTTTTAACGCTCGCTCGAAGCGCCTTCGTAGTCGGGTTCATGACATTCCTTGGCTTCTGCATCGACTACTCCAAGTTGCCAAAGAGCAATAAGCTGGAGCAGGTCTTGGTGCCAAAGTGTGCAGCGAAGTCAGTAAATGCGTATGACAAAATCACTTCCCAGCTGACATAATATAGGATCCATGGAATTTGGATATTTGGCCTCTGGGTCTTCATCATCTACTGGCTCTACACGTTCTACAACCTCTTTACCGATATACCCCGGCTCCGAGCCACGCACGACTTCTACCACTACTTGCTCGATATCCCCGACCGCGACATACAAACCATACAGTGGCAGCAGGTGGTGACGCGCATCATGGCTTTGCGGGACTTGAACTTGACCACCGCCTCGAACCTGTCTCCGCAGACGCGCAAGTTACTCGATTCGAAGAGCAGACAGCGACTAGATGCTATCGACATCGCGGGTCGCCTGATGCGTCGTGACAACTACCTGATCGCCCTCTTCAACAAGGAGATATTGGATGTCACCGTTCCGCTTCCCTTCCTTGGCAATCGATACATCTTCTCGGAGACCACGAGATGGCACGTCAATCTCGCCATCATGGACTTCGTCTTCAGTGGACCGAACGGCCAGTTCAACCCTGACTTCCTAAAGGAGCGCAACCGCCGAGAGCTCGTAAAGAGGCTGAAGACTCGCTTCTTCTGGACTGGCATCATCAGTATCCTCTGCGCACCTTTCGCTGTGGTGTTCGTGCTTGCTTCGTACATGTTCAAATACTTCACCGAATACCACAAGGACCCAGGCCAACTCAGTAACCGCGACTTCACTACTTTCGCTCAGTGGAAGTTCCGTGAGTTCAACGAGCTGCCTCACTATTTCGCCCGCCGCCGTAACATGGCCTATCCGTACGCAAACCTCTACCTTGCCCAGTTCCCCAAAGACAAGACCGAACAGGTCTCATCATTTGTCGCATTCATTGCCGGCGCCTTCGCATTCGTCCTTGTGGTGTTCACTCTTATGGATTCGGAGCTCTTCCTCAACTTTGAAATCACACCGGGCAAAACAGCTATCTTCTGGATCGGTATTCTTAGTACGATTTACCGTGTCGCACGTGGAAGCAGCCCTCAAGACGACCAGGTCGCAGATCCATCCTACTACCTCCAACATGTCATCTACCACACGCGCTATGAGCCCGAGTCGTGGCGTGATAGGCTACACACCGACGAAGTCCGCGCTGAATTCGCCCAACTCTACCAGCCCAAGATTGTCATCTTCGCCGAAGAAATACTCAGTATGATCATCACACCTTTCCTGCTCATGTTCAGGTTACCAGCCTGCAGCGAGCGTATCGTCGACTTCTTCCGCGAGTTCTCGATTGTAGTCGATGGCCTAGGCGTGACATGCTCGTACTCCATGTTCCCCTCTACAAAGACTACTCGCAACGCCAACAACATCCCGGCAAACGGAGCTGCTGCCCCAAGAGAAGATCCTGACCTCCGGGAAGACTACTTCATGGCTAAAGACAACAAGATGATGGCATCCTACTACGGCTTCCTGGACACATACCAGAACCCAGGACGTGGCTACAACGGTCGCCTCCAAGGCCGAAGCCAATTCCACCCTCCGCCACAGTTCCCCAATACCTTCGGTTCCATGTCGCAGACTGCTCAGCCCGTTGAAATGGGTGCCAGAGGAACAAGTAGAGGACCCACCGGCCGCCAGAATCTCCAGCAGAGGACACCGAGACATAGAACGGGTGCTAGGGACGAACCTATGAACTCTGTTCTTCTCGATCCTCACCACCAGCCTTCTTCTGCGTCTATACTCCGCGGCTCACCACGTCAGGCAGCGAACAATAGATATCGGACGCCGTTGCAAGCTGTGCCGGACGCACCTGGCCCGTCGAATACACGTATTGAGGAAGAAAGTACGCTGGGTGATTCGTGGCGAACGAGTCGGCTTGCACAAGATGACGATGACGAGGAGGAAGCGCCGGGCAACAATCGCGGAGGTGTACTACAGCTCTTGCAGCAGTTTTCTCGTGCGCAGGCTGAAGGCCGAGGCGCTGGTGTTGGTGTTTGAACTACAGGTTCATATTGCATTTGCCTTTGGTTATATGGGAATAGGCAGGCGTTCTTGATTGGAGTGTCTGGGTTGGGAACTTATACCACTTTTAGCATCGGACCATTACTAGTAGAGATCAATAGCAATCATTCGAGCAACAAACAAAATGCCATAATGTACCGTGACGTCTCGGATGACACCCAACAGAAACCGCTCATTAGGAACATCTCGTCCAAGGAGTGACGTATGCGACCAATAGTTAGACCACTACATTACACAAGCACAATCATGGTGGCACAGCGTTGTTGTATCATTTGTCATTGTCCGGCTGTGTCTGGTCGTTCTCTACAGTTACACGCCGCAGATGTTCACCCTCCAGCCTTCATCCTGACTGATGAAGAAAGCAAATCACGCCGTAACCGAATTCCCATTGGACCCATGATGTCATGCACACAACTCATCCCTCAATCCAAAACCTAAGCAGAGGACTCGAAAGCCTCAGGGAAGCGACGGATGTTGTTGGCGAGGTTGCCCTTGTTGCGGAGGAACTGGACGTAGGCACCGTCGATCTTGACCTTGCCCTCTTGGCGGAGGTCAATGTACTCCTGGCGCTTGAGAGGAGTGAAACCCCAGTTCTTGGAGACAATGATCTTCTGGCGACCGGGGAACTTACAACTAGTTAGCACATATCATCTCTGACGTCATTTCCAAACATACCTTGTACTGGCAACGCCTGAGAGCCTCAAGGGCGACGGCGCGGTTAGAGTCCCTTGTCCGGACGGACATGAGAATCTGGCCAATGTTGACACGAGCGACAAGACCGTTGGGCTTGCCGAAAGCGCCACGCATACCCGTCTGCAATCTATCGGCACCAGCGCACGACAACATCTTGTTGATACGGACGACGTGGTAGGGGTGGACGCGGACACGGAGATGGAAGGATTCCTTTCCACCGTTCTTGACGAAGTACTTGTTGGCGCAAATACGGGCGGCCTCGAGCGCCTCAGAGGACAGCTGCTCGTACTCGTTGGAGACCAAGTGGATGCAGAGAGGGAAGTCGTCTACGTTGGCCTTCTTGCGACCAAGGTCGAAGATGCGGATCTTGGCATCGGGAACACCACGGTTGAACCTGCTCTTGGGGTACTACGGCCCAGTCAGCCTGTTATCCTCCTCTCGCGATATCTCCATCGTGACGTACGGGCTTGTTCTTGCAGTAGCGGTAGCAACGGGCGGGACGGCGAGCCATTGTGACGGTTGTTCCTGCTTTGAAATCAATGAGCGGGTGTCCAGGAGTCGCGGAGAAGGAGGGCGAGCGCAAACTGATGCAGCTGTCAGTAAGACGTCTTCCAGCGGGGATAAATGCGACAGCCGTACGTACCTTACCCTGTATTTATGGTGTTAGTAGGAGGTGAGTGTCAGAGGCGTCGAGGGAAGTCGTCGCCGGATTGCTAAGCGAATATTTGCCCACACGAACGCTACGACCTGAGTAAGCTAGCGCCCCATCCGATTTCAAAGCACCCGCCACGCCGCTTCCCAAGACAGCGAAAGTGCAATTCTGGGGTGCGCGCAGCGACGTGATAAAGGCCCTCGTGCTTTATGATAGCATCCTATATTATAACTCGTAGTTGTATCTTTACATCCACACAGCTTGATATTCTGTGCACCCTCATGGCGTCTGTCTGTGTGCATTACAAATCAGAAATACCGAGCGACCTCGCATAGCCGATACAAAGAAGCATGTTTCAGCAAGTTATGCCCAACACGAAACCCAAAAGCATTCAAAGTATGGTCTAGCAGTAGGTCAAGGAGCTAAGACCTCTTGCGTGCTTTCGATGCATTGCATAAAGATGCTCGTCTACGTAATCTAGAATGAGCACTGGAAGTCTGTCCAGAGAGAATACGCTGTGATCTTTCGTATGGCATCAATGCAAACCTTGTCGTGTACCCTCAAGACGTGGTACACTCAGAGCTGTGCACTCAGTCCGGCGCATGATAATATTGCGACAGTTTGGTCTGTAAGCACTAGTGTAGCACAAGGACGCGCCAGTAGGCATGAATGAGTCACGTCACAGGTGCAAATATGGACCGTCAGGATGGCTCATGAAATCTTGCATTCATTGGATATCATCGAGGACATAGCTTTCGCCATGCCTAGGTATCATGTCTAACTGCGCCCCTTCCATTTGTCATAACACTCTAGTTCTCGGTGTTCTGGGACAGGATGTCGGAGTCACCTGTCAGTCTGTTAGCGGAGATCATAGTGCAACCAGAAAGGGAGATACATACCGGCATCGAGGATGGACATGACGGAGCAGCGGAAGAGCTTACCGCAAGCAGTGCCCAACTCAATCTAGACTGGTATTAGCTGATTGCTCTCCGAAGCCATGTTCAGACCTCTTCTCAGAGCCAGCCCTCGAAGTATACCCAGCGCGCAGGAGCTCGTTATCGTCGCGTTCTTGTGTATATTCTACCACAGCTAGGAACTGGAGAGTAACGAGTCTCGTAGCGCTCAGGGTATCTTGTCGTTAGGCAATGAGAGCGGACGGGGTGCGGTACGTACGTTGTTGCCGGAGAAGTGGTGGACGGAGGTCTTGGACAACATGGCGTAGTCTATGATGAATTAGCGATTGCGCATGAAGCCCAGAGGAGATATGCTTACACTCGAGCTCAGACTTCCTCAGAGGAGGGGTGTTTCCGGCAATGATGACGAGCTTGGCCTTTCCGGTGCGCAGGCTCTTGAGGGTAGACTTGTAGCCGAGGGTGACCTTACCGGACTTCATCACAAGCGCCAGGCGCGAGTTGATGGAGTCGGCGGTTCTCTTGTTCTTCTTGGGGGCCATCGTTGCTCGTAGGAAGTCGAATGTGGTATTCCTAAAGGGTTGTTGAGCTCCGGTCGTGTGGGTTGTCGAAAGAGAATTGGGGTGGTAGCGCAACGCAAAATGATTTGTGCGCCAAGAGTTGTTCAACGCTAGTGACTCAGCCGCCCCATAATGCCAGCACTGAACACCCCATTCTTCATGACTTGTGCAAGAGTCAAAGTTAATCGTGTGTTACTTAGTGTTTTGAGTGAGTGGCAATGCCGCGATAGCGCTAAACCTCACATCAGATTGTACGCGCATCTTCAGCTGCCCTGCTGGCTTTACCGTGCATTTTATCTGTTGCATTGGGTAGGTGAACGTGTAATAAGGCGTTGTTCAGATATCCTATCTAGTTTATAATCTTTGCTGTCAACTCCTAGCACCCATTACATGTAGACAGATGTCTGCAGAAAAAAAACGCTTTCCAACATGGTATCATTGCATCTTCAGGCGCGGTTAATCAAGACGCCTGCCACAAACTCCTCTCATTCGCACCTTTGCCAGACCTTCATCATAGTGCATGTTCAACATTTTGGGACTTTGCTCATGCTGCTGCTCTTTGCGCCCGCCCTCCTCGGGTCGGTGCACTAACAGCGCCGGGCCTGTTCAAAGTATACTTGGCGAAAGCCCTTGCCAACGCTTTCTTTGCGCTGACCTTCTGTGATCCGACAAAGGAGTCAACTGCAACAGCAATGGCGCGATCAATGTCCACCGATGCGACATAGTCAGAGAGACGCATCTTGCAGAAAGACTCTGCGATACGTAGGATAGCTTCGAGATGACGAACCTGTAGTTGTAAGTAAGTGGTTTACTCTGACATAGTGATTGTGTACTTACGGTGATAGGATAAGCTCCAGTTGCCATAGATTCTCTGCGCATGTCTGCGAACAGACGGGCAATCTTATCTTGCTCAATCTGGTAAAGCTTGGGTCTGCACTTCTCCCTCGCGTAGAGAATGTACTTCCTCAACAGATCTTGTGGAATCTCACCCTCCTTGATTGGGGCGTCGCCGTCGACTTCCATTTGGTCGTCGCCGTTCTGTGTCGCCTTTGCCTTGTCAGAGTACCCATATGCTGAGTTGACAAGAGGATGAGCGCGACCGTGGGAGTTTACCACAAACTTAGCCAAGCGTTCATCCTCCGCTGGGTCAACAGTATCGCGCACGACACACAAAATATCGAATCGAGACAAAATAGGCTCGGTAAGCTCCACGTTCTGCGAGAAAGGAATTGTTGAGTTGTATCGACCACCAATGGGGTTAGCAGCTGCTACGATGGAACAGCGAGCTTGAAGGGTTGTGACGATACCAGCCTTGGAGATGGAGATAGTCTGTTGCTCCATGGCCTCGTGAATGGATGTTCGGTCCTGGTCATTCATCTTGTCAAACTCGTCGATCAAACAAGTACCCTTATCGGCAAGCACAAGCGCACCACCCTCAAGCGTCCACTCGCTAGTCATGGGATCACGACGGACGGAAGCAGTAAGACCAACCGCGGAAGCACCCTGACCAGTGGCGAAGACAGCACGATGGGCGGTCTTTTCGACGTACTTCAGAATCTGGGACTTGGCAGTACCGGGATCTCCAAGCAACAGAACGTTGATGTCACCACGGATGGAGTGACGACCAGGAGCTTCTTTGCTGACACCTCCAAACAGAGAGAGCGCCACAGCAGTCTTGATGTCAGTGTGTCCGTAGATGCTTGGAGCGATCGAGTTGATGACTTTGTCCACAATGCGAGGGTCCTTGGACAGTCGTCGAATCTCCTTCTCATCGTCTTCGGTCAACCGGAAGCCAGCCAGCTGGTCGTGAGACTTGACCACGTAGTTGGCCTCCAAGATAGTTGCAAAGACTGGGAAACCGTTCTTGTTGTTCAAAGCCGCATCGTAGTTGTTACGGTAGATGCCGGTGACTTCAATCTCCTCACCAGGCTTCGCCGAGTCGATCAAGTCCCAAAGAAGGATGACCTCCCGATGACGGGGCAAACGTCCTGCCGGTACAGTGCCTGGAGACTCTTGTAGAGTGAGCTTTTGGTAGTTTCGGTAGACTGTCCGCTCGGAGTTCACTGTGAAAGGACCGCGCGATTGGCAGTTCTGGCAGAAAGAGATCTTGACCTCAACGTTTGAATCTTGGTGGAAGGGACCCAGAGTGACGCCGCACTTGGTGCAATCAAACTTGACGTATTTGAGTTGAGGGAAGACTCCGCTTCGGCGGGTGACGACTCCACTGACACGAACCAGACTGTTGAGATGCGACTGACGGAGCTGGCGGAGTGTATATTGAACAGGCACGTCGGTGATACGGACGTGAATCTCGGAGTGGATACGCTCGTAGTCTGGGTAGTGGAGGAGAGCGACTTCCATGGCCACCTGGTCGAAGATCTTCAACATCTCGGTGGGCGTGTTGGCCAGCCAGTATGCCAATGTAGCCTTTTGCTCGGCAAGGTGGTCGAATGAGACTTCCAAGGACTCAGCGTTGACCTCTCCCAATGTTCGGATGCGGGCTCCGTAGACCGAGTGGCCATGCTCGTCGGTGTATTCTGTCAAGAAAGATTTGAATTCGCGCGCAATAGTCCTGGCGACCTGAGGCTGAGCGACCCAATCTGTCAGGGTGTTGGCCTTCACATCGGTGAGGGCCTCAAGCGTCAATTCCTCGTTCATGATATCGTTGTCCATGTCCATGTCGTCTTCTTCGTCATATCGATTTCTCCGAACACGACGGCGTCCCATAAGACCTGCAAGGCCATCCGTCTCGTCTTCATCTGGCAGGAAAGCAGCGGGCATGCGACGTCTTGCCTCTCTGTCACGGGCATTAAGTCGCGCATCAAGCTCTCGCCTTTGCGCGAGACTTAATTCTTCATAGTCTCCCTCGTCATCGATGCCCTGACCTTCATAGGCATCGTTCTCGCGGGCTCCGTAGTCGTTCTCAAAGTCGTCGGCGAACAAATCAATTCCTTCCGCCTCTTCTGCGTCTTCATCGAGATCGTCTACGTCGCGAATGATGTCGTCATCGTCGAGCATGTCTGCATCGTCGTCTTGTGGGAGCATAGGTGGCGACGAGGCCATTGCTGTACTTGTTTAGCCATTGTTGTGTCGCATGTTTTTGTCGCACTCACGGCTGGACGGCGGATGCGCCGCTGAGGAGGGGAGATCGTCATCGTCCCTTGCGCGTTTGTTGCTCCTGCTGCTAGGGCCTACGCCACGGTTTGCGGACGACATGTTGGAGCGAAGGGGTGGTGGTGGTGAACTAGTGTTCGTCAATATCTTGTTGTGGTAAAGAGGGGCTCGTCGTTGCTCGGCCTACGAGTCTCGTCGAACCTGAGACACATACCTCATGTTCACTTAAAGCACGGTTCTTTACTGGTATCACCGGGATAAAGTAAAGTGATATGGGGCTGCGAAGCGGGGTTGAGGGTGCGGGAGAAGGGGTAGTAAGGACCAGCGACACGACCGCGTCGCGCTTTCCTTTTCCACGCGTAAAGTGGTGATGCGGTAGCCAATCAGCGATCAGGCGCATCCAGCGCCTTCCTCACTGCTCACACCAAAGTTTCCCACGCACTTCCACGACCGAATTTACTCTGCTAGTATCTCGCATTCTGACGAATTTTGATCTTGTGTTCTACATCGAATTGCTTTCCATCTCGAATTAAGTGGTTACGCGTTATCGCAATCATGGCGGATTCCCAGTCAACGACCATGTCCGAGAAGCCGCGCACCAGCAGCATATCGCAAGCATCGGAGAGCTCACAAACAGCGGCTGAGTACGTGTCTTCCATGCTCTTGTCTGTATGGAGACTTAATCAATTCCGTCAGCTTTATCAAAGAGCAACTTAGCCTCGAGGCAGAAGCACGCGAGGCTCTCCCCTACGTCAGTACCCACATCCTCCGAATGCGCCTCGACTGACAAGAAACAGCAATTCGATACCTGCATACGCGACCTCGGCCCTCTGCGACAGAGCCTTTACGCATGCCTCACCTGCAACCCCGCGCCCGCATCGTCTGCCCAGCAATACACTCCAGCAGGCGTCTGCTACTCATGCTCCATCTCCTGCCATGGCGAACATACCCTTGTTGAGCTATTCAACAAGCGCAACTTCATATGCGACTGTGGAACTACCAGGATACCGGATATGACGCCATGCACACTTCGTCTCAACGCAGAAACTGGACGTAAAGGCGATGTGACGGGCGAAGAGCCAGCCAAGACGAACAAGTACAACCAGAACTTCAGGAACAAATTCTGTGGCTGCGGCGAGGACTATGATCCTCAACAAGAGAAGGGCACCATGTTCCAATGTCTCGGACTTGGGACTTGCGAGGAGGGCGGCTGTGGTGAAGACTGGTGGCACCCTGAATGCCTCGTAGGCTTCACTCGGGCGGAGTACAGCAAGATGATTGAAAAGCCTAAAGTGGAAGAGAAGAATGACAAGGTAGATGCGATGGAGACCGACAAACCCGCAACAGACAACACCAAGACCAACGGTCACGCGGACGAGAATACGGCATTACTTCCAGCGGACATCGCAGCTGCAATTACAAATGGCAATGGGGTTGATGGCAACGATGTTGCAGCAGATGCTGGGGCAGAAGAGGAAGATGACCCCCCGCTGCCTCCAGGCTTCCCTGAAGAAGACGACTTCGATCACTTCCTCTGCTACAAGTGTGTCGAGGCCAATCCATGGATCAAACAGTACGCTGGCTCAACTGGGTTCCTCGCACCAGTATACCACGACAAAGCCATGGCGCTTTCTCATGCCCAGAAGCCCCCCGTCTCAGCCCCAGATGACAGCAACGGCGACTCCAAGAAACGCAAAGCTTCCGACGAAGACGAACAGCAGCAGACATCATCCCACTTGACAGCTCCAGCTCCGGCTAAGCGCCAAAAGTCCGAAGATCCAAGCGGCACACTCTCCAGCACCCCCGAAGACACAACGACGCTGCCCATAACCCCCAAGAAGCCAGAAGCACCAGAAGGCCCAAAGCACGCTTCCCTCCCCCCTCTTCCCGTAGCCGCACTCACAACGCCATTCTCCCTCTTCCTCAAGCCCGACTTCCGCGACCACCTCTGCCACTGCGACGCCTGTTACCCACACCTAAAAGCCCACCCGCAACTCCTCGAAGAGGAAGACACCTACGAGCCCCCCGTCTCCGAAGACGGAGAAGAAGGCGGACAGTCCGTCGGTACAGGAAGTATTCTCGATCGTGGTGAAGCCGCTTTCAACAACATGGACCGCGTGCGTGCTATCCAAGGTGCAATGGCGTATGCGCATCTCAAAGACAAGGTCTCGGCGTTCTTGAAGCCGTTCGCTGAATCGGGTCAGGCTGTTGGTGCGGAAGATGTTAAAGCGTACTTTGAGAAGCTGAGGGGTGATGCGCAGGGTATTCAGGAAGCTGCTGGCGATGCGAAGGCGAACAGGGATGATGATGCGGAGGGTGGGGCTGAGGGCGGTGGCAGGAAGAAGCAGAGTGGGTATTAAGTGTAGACTCATCTACTCGAAGTGTTGAAGATGTGAAGACGAGATTTGTGGGAGTATGTCATGCATCCTATGTGCAAATGATCTCCAGCTAGCTTGAAATTGGATATTGCACTTCATCGTAGCCAGTTCCCAAGGTGTCTTCGTGCTTCCGAACGTTCCATACGTCTTCTCAAGATTGACTTCACGATCACGGTCCTGCTACAAGGTATCAAGTGTTTCATGTAACACAAAAATAATTCTCAAATCTTGGGTATCAAATTAAAACTACTTCCTCCCCCTTCCATGCAGACCAGTGCAAGCAACCACTACACTGTGAAAAAAAAGAAACTTTTCACACCTCCCATCCCCATCCCGCACTCTTCAAGCCGTCACAGTAACAGTAGCTGTCTCCGTGACCGTCTCCTTCCCGGTCGGCGACGCAGTAACAGTCACGGTAAAAATCTGACTCGGTGCTATCGGCGTGATGATCAGCGGGCCTTCTGATGTCGTTGATGAAGGCACCGGCTCTGGCGGTGGTGGTGCCGATGATGGCAATTCGGTCGGTGCTGGTGGTGTGGGCACGGCGTCGGATGTGGATGCCGTTGCGGATGCGGAGACCTCTGGAGGTGGCGCGATTGAAGATGAAGAAGGTTGCACCGAAGATTCTGGAGGCGTTGCCATGGATGTGGAAGCTGATGTGGGTTGTGCTGAGCTTGAGGGGGCGGGTGCCATGCTTGGTGCAACAGATGATGACAGCGTGGATGTAGGCGCAGGAATCTCCGATGTCAAAGATGACGGTGCGGGTTCGCTGGGTCTCGGCATTGCTACTTCAGAAGACGAAGCCGCGAGCGTAGAAGACAAAGCTACTGAGCTGGGTACGACCGGCTCTGGAACAGCGGAAGAAACCGGTATCTCAGGTGCTCCACTTGGCTGTGGTGTGGCTGTCGGCATGACTGTAGTGTATGATGTAACAATCACTACAGGTGGTACTTGGAGGGATGCTGATGGCGAGACTTCGGCAGGAGCATTTGAAGGAGCGGGCATGGGAGCACCAGCCACTTCTGATGTTGAAGAGGCTAGTGGAGCAGACTCTTGAGCCTCAGTTGGCATGGCTGACTCTTGAGTAGATGTTTGAGGCGGCTGGGATGTCGCGTAGATAGTGGTGTATTGTGTGACGATGATGCGCGATGTTACATCGATGGTGTCTGAAGCAGTCTCTGAGGGGAGAATTGCTGTAGAAGGTCCGCTCGATACCGGGGCTGGGATTGCCAGGGAAGTTGAGTTGACCAGAGGAGTAGAAGATGGCGCTTGTACGACAGACTCTATCATGGAAGATAGGCTGGTGACAATCGCACTCGCAGTGGTATTGCCAGATGGCGAGCCTGAGGGTGCCGCCCCAGGATGAGTGAAGCCAGGCAAGCCTCCGGTGGTAGGTGCTTGGACCGCACTCGTCACCGGTGCAGTTGTGGTAGATGCTAGGACAGCACTTGACGCCGGTACGGTTGGAGTGGCAAGCGAGGTGGACGTCTCTTCTATGGGCGAGTAGGTAAACATAGGAGCCTTTTGACTTGCCTCGCTTGCTGTCTTGTTTTCCACAGCGGTAACCGAACTTGACAATGCCGACGATACCGGCACATCGCTGCTCTCTGTGGGCGTTGGTTTCGGACTTGGTGTTACTGAAGACGTAACCACTGCGCTTGAAGTCTCCTCCGGGGTTGGCAGAGGTGATGGTGTGATGTAAGAAGTAGAAAACACAGTCTGCGGATCTTGTGTCACGAGTGGCTTCCCGTCAGGAAGAACGAACGTGATAGCTGGTGCTATTGAAGAGAAGATAGTTTGCTGGATAGGCTCCACTATGATAGCGGTCTCTGCCTCTGCAAGTTGCTGTATTGATGTTGATGCGATTGTCGAAGTAGTGTTGGAGTAACTAGAAAAACTACTCGAAATCAGTGCTTGTTTCTCAAAGTATATGCCTGTATTCCTCACAGTTGTCTTCGGTGGTTCTTTGGAACTGGACCAGCGGTTATGGATGTAGAGCAAGCTGCCAGCAGCAGAATTGTGGAGAAGATAGCCATCGTCAAGACGACAAATTATTAAGAGTGGATGAAGTAGAAAGACGGCGCTTGCGGGCAGAATAAGGAAGCGATGGACTGAAGGACGAAACTGAGATAGTGAACGATTAAGAGAAACGATCGACAAGAAGAAGAAACAGACGGTAAGGAAAGACACCTAGGAAAGAAACGAAAATCGTTCGTCTCAAGCAAACCACAGGCTAAACGTTCAGATGGCTACGGCGGTGTCTCATTGCTACGCGGGCTGGCATCGGGTTTTGAAGCTGCATTAGCCGCCTTGAGCACGGTTTGAGTATACAATAGAACAAAGAGTAGTACTGGCCGAGCATGGCTCCGGTTGCCTGTAATTTGGGCGTGTCACTCAAGCTCCATAGGAAAGTAGCGCTGGTAACTGGAGGAGTGGCTGTGGTGCTCTGATGCGCTGGGTACGTGTTTCATCCTCGAGCCAATGAGATGGCAGCATGGCCTCGGTCGAGCCCACGACCTTGAAGCGCCTGGCCGAACGTCTGCTACCCGCGCAGAGCCTCCAGATCTCTCTCCATATGCCAGAAATAACTCTTCGGAAGGAGGCACGATTCCGCGATCCGAGTTTGTCAAGTGTTGCCGGTTTCCGCGTCTTCATGCAGTATGTGCTGTCTCCCGGCTGTTCGATGCGTCAAGAGACCGGAACCCTGTGGGGATATCTCCACAACACCAAGGTCGAGGTCACGATAGAAGACGACCTAGATGCCTGCAAGCATCAGCTATAGCTATCGACGATATTGTAGTGGATCGAGATGTGTTGGCGGGTTTGCACGTGCCCGATGTTCATTCGCCTGGACGGTTGAGGGTCGCTCGGGGCAACAGGCGAGTTTCGACAAGGAAGGACAACACAGACCGCCATTTACGCTAGGACAGGCCCTTTGCATGTCGCCAGAGCCTCGAGTCTCGACGTCGCGTACGGTAGGTCTGGCATTCCTTTCTCTGTAGACGTAGAGTTTTTCGTATCTTTTCACCCTATCGCCATCCTCCTTGCCGGTCTGCACCATGAGCGTACGCGTCGTCGCGAGGATACGTCCTCTACTGAAACAGGAGCTCGACAAAGACACGATTGTCACCGCCGAGACATTGGAGGGCGACACCACCCCGGCGGTCGTGCGGATACCGAGTCCGAAGAACGAGGCCGAGTCCTTCAGCTTCCAATTTAGCTCTGTGTACGAGCAGGACGCGACGCAGCAGCAGCTTTTCGATGCCGAGAGTGAGTTCGCGACGGACGCGTTTCGGACCTGAATTGACTCCAAACCAGTCGCGCCGACGGTGAAGCACCTGTTCAATGGCTTCGATCTATCTATTTTCGCGCATGGCTGCACCGGCACCGGCAAGACGCATACGATGCGAGGAGGAAAGTCGCTGGCGGACCGCGGTGTCATCCCAAGACTGTTGAGCTCAATATACCGACGCTGCAAGAAGATCGAGAAGGACACGGCTGGAGCCACACACGTCGAGGTCGCCCTGGAATACTTCGAGATCTACTGCGATCGCGTCTACGATCTGTTTGAACCGCCGGAGAAGCGCACCCCGTCTGGCCTGCCCATCCGAGACAACAAAGGCAAGACTGTCGTCGTTGGTCTTACAGAGAAGCCATGCACAACACTTAAGGAGTTTGAGCAGCTTTATGACCAGGCCAACATGAACAGGTCAACATCCGCTACTAAGGTGAGGCTTCACACGCGTTAGAGGTAAACATTGCTAATGATGCTGCAGCTCAACGCGCATTCCTCCCGATCCCATGCCGTTCTCTGCGTGAAGATCACGCAAACCACCGAAGATACGGTTCGCGTCAGCCGAGCATCCTGCATTGATCTTGCAGGATCCGAAGACAACCGACGAACCGAAAACAACAAGGAGCGTCTGGTCGAGAGCTCGGCCATCAACAAGTCGCTATTCGTACTTGCTCAATGCGTAGAAGCTATGAACAAGAAGGCCAGCCGGATCCCGTACCGCGAGTCCAAGATGACGAGAATCTTATCGCTGGGTCAGAATAAGGGCTTAACTGTCATGATTCTGAACCTTGCGCCGACCCGCGCATACCATCTCGACACCATTAGTTCCTTGAACTTCGCTAGCCGGACGAAGAAGATCGAGATCGCAGAGGTGGAGAACGACCCCATGTACAGGACAGCAGTCAAACCATTGGCGATAACTAGTAGTGTCGGCGGAGCAACAATGTCACGGCAACCGCTACGATCCATCGCGGCCGCACACAACGCGAACATCCCGGAGCCAGAGAAGGGGAAGAAAGGAGAAAAGCCTACCAAGGCCTTCTCTGTATACTCTGACGCTCGCAAGGCTGCTGCTGCTGCTCCTCGCGTCTCCAACCTTGCACAGAACCAAGGAGTGCGAAGGACTGAGGGTTCTAAGCGAGCAGCTGAACCCAGCAGCACTTTCGCAACGCGACCAACGAAGGCATTCCGAACTGGGGATAACACCTCACGGATACCGAACAGAGAGCCTGCTCTGACCAAGGCTTCGATTGAGGCTCTCATTGCACAGAAGGTGGACGAGAGGCTAGCAGAGAAGGCATTGCAAGACGCCGGCACCGCTGCGCCAGCGCTTTCTGCAGAGTTGCAGAAGCGGTTGGATGAGCTGGAACACCGTATCGATGCACACGAGGAGGACGGAAAGTCACAAGGCCTACAATTCCTGCTTATGGCGAAGCAACATCACATGCGTGGGGAGGACGCCAGCGCACTTAGAATGTACCACCTGGCTCAGCCCTTCTTCCCGGGCAACGCAAAGCTAGAATCCAAGATGAAGGCCCTCGAAGACCGGATACGCGCAAAGAAGGAAGAGTCCACCAAGCACGTCTCCGCCCCCGTAGAGCTACCCTCGCATACCGCCGCCGCAGCGCCCCCCTCGAACCTCCTCATGGCCCCCCTCAAAGCCGTCGAAAAGAAACAATCAAAGCCCAAGATGGTCTACAAAGACGACTCCGAAGACGACGAAGAATTCGCTCCCGCGCCTCCCTCCGACCACGAAGACTCCTACGCCTCCGACACCAGCTTCCAGTACACCAGCAAGTCCAAACCCGCCCGCAAACCGAAAAAGACGACTAAGAAATTGCCCATCTTCCGCGACGACACTGCCCCGACTACGACTACGACTCTGACCACAACTACCACTGCTGCCGATCTCCCGTCTCACTCCGCCTCTGCCTCTGTCCAACAAACGCCTCGTACCAGCCACCTCCTTAAGATCATCAACTCGCGCGACGTCAATCAGATCAAAGCGTTAAAGGGGGTCGGAGCAAAGAAAGCGGATAACATTGTGAACTGCCTGGTCGAAATGGATGATGCTGAGATTATGGATTTGGAGTCGCTGGCTATGCTGAAGGGTGTAGGGGGCAAGACGGTGGATAATATGAGGCTGGGGTTGAGCGTTGTTAATACTTCTTATGATTTCTAGAGCTCCGGCTTTTCTTTATCGTTGTTTGGATTTTTTTGAGAGGGGGGTTAGAAAGCATGGTGTTTGCGGCGTTCTTGTTGTGGATGCGCGCGAAGCTGCGCGCGTAGATTATATTCACATTTGCATAGAAAAGGCGTTTTGGGTTTGGCGGCTTAGGCTGTCTTGCATTTCGCATTCTGCATAGGTCGGTTCTTAGGAAACCAAGACTATTTCTTCATCACTACACGGTTGCTTCACGCTCAAATTTTGCTCGTAACGTGCGATGTTCTGCATCATTCATGCTATCATTATCATACAAGACCGTAACTTTCAATCTCAGCCCACAAGAAAGATCCCACAATCACTCACTCAATCCCAACTGCAGCGGGAGCATCTAGAAAGGCCACACCCAGTCTTCCGTCTCCTTAGGATCCATACCCTCATGGTACGCATAGTTCTTCGCCTTGATCTGCTCATCAAGCAGCTTCTCCCTCGTCGCCGCACCCTTGTTACCCAAGCTGGGAATATTGTCAAGAGCATCAATCGCCAAGCTATAGCGATCAGTACCGTTCCTGATGGCCAGCTCGAGAGGAGTGTCGAT